AGGTGGGTATAAGCAGGCACAGCACAGGTAGAACACATATGACATGAAACAGAAATAATGATGGGCCCTTTTCTTAAACATTTTAAAGGACAAGACAGGATCTTAAAAGAGATACAATAATCTTTATAAGATAATGGGAATGCATATAGGCCAATAAGATAGGCCCATGCATACGCTTATATTAAATATGTATTTGTATCGCGGTAAGGCATTTGATTACGACTTTAAAAAGCATCGCATCGTTTGCAATCATGCGTTTTATGACAGTCATCGATTACATCACTAAGTACAAAATTTTAGGTATATTTAAAAACTTAAGATTTGGGCCAATAGATCTAAAAACCAGAATATAAACATAGAAAAATGATATGTAACTGAAACTGTCAAATTATATGAAATAAGAATTCCATTTTCATCACTCAATCTGCCTAGTTCAGACACATCATACATGTTTTCAAAACTGTTGTAGGACTGAATGAAATGTGACGTAAACCTATCTGAAATATCTATATGAGAAACCACAAAAAATGTATACATCAAAGTCATAACATAAGGTGACATGTAAAATTTAATAAGATTGTCACAAATTCAGTCTTTTTTTTTTAATTTTTTCCTTTTTTTTTTGCCTCTTATGCATTACTTTTTACCGGTAAGGCCTAATTCATTTTTACGTTGGATAATTTTGAATCAAATGGTGGTCAGATATAGGACTACACATTGCGGGTTTTATTATCTATCTGAATTGCCACATTATAAAAGTTAGAATCTCACTTCAGATCAGGAAGGTAAGTTGTTTTAGTCTTCGATTGTGTAGTATAAATTGAACCCTAGATTTAATATAAGGATTGTTTTATTCTACCGTGGACAATTGACACTATACAAGTCCTTGTTGACTGGTTGATTGACTGATTGAGTGATTTATTGACTAGTCGACCGATCGGTCACTCGGCTGCTCGGCGGTCAATCGGTTGCTCGCTTGGTTGATTGATTGATCATCATTTGGCCTGTAGTGTCCGTGTATTAATACTTAAATCTCTGACTCTTGATTTGTATCATGAATGTAGATGTCGGATCCAGTATTAATTAAGGCATCTCCATCCTCACTGGGCCTGTAATTAATCTTCAACTCCTCCTCCATTTCGAATCCCAGCAACTGTGTATTGTTGATGGTTACTTTCGGTATGTTATAAATTTTAAAGCTGCTGCGCTTTATCCAACTTGCCACACACAGACACATGCTTTGTAACACGATCAAGACACTCAATATATACACGTACATGTCCTCACTGCTATTTACCATGGATGTATACCCCAACACAGGAATCAAACTATTGGCAGCAGAGGTAGCGATCATGAGTCCTAAACGTCTCGTTGCTAAGTTACATAATGCTTCGTTGAGTGTCGCTTGGGTCGTCATGACGCGCTTTAGGACGATGACATACCCAATAATGTTTGAGACACAAATCACCAAAATCGGGAAAAATATCGCATATATGAGGAGAGACTCGTCAGTAAATACAATGCAGTATCTGTAATTAATTAGAGGGTTATTGTTTTTAAAAATTTCTCAAAATAAATTCGAATTGGCAAGCAATCGGGTGACATTCATACGTCAGTGGCGTTATAGTAATCTATACTATTGACATTGAGGCCGATGAGGAAGGTAATGATTGAATAACTTCATTTAGCTTCAAGTGTAGTAAGCCCCCCCCCCCCACCGGACAGGTCAAGCCCCCCTGCCGGACAGAGCTTGTCGGACAGTCAGACCATAAAACAATAGGCCCACTCTAAGCCAACATATGCCTGTCACAGTCTGAGAGTGTCATTTTCGGCCATCCAGAGGTTGATATTCTTTAAAAAAATCTCATTTGGGAGGGGGAACCTCCTCTCAACCTCTTCCTCCAGCTCGAGCCTACGAGCTCAAGTCCCCCTGTCGGACAACTTAGCCCCCCCAGAAAATATATCCTAGAGCCGCCACTGCCAGTACACCAAACTGTTTTCACATATATCACTTGGAAATTAATGGTTATGTGAGCCCGTATAAGCACACACACACCTCTATTACGGTAAACAATTATACAAATTTTTGACCATGGTGTCCTTGACCTTTGACCCTGAACCTTTAAAATTCAATCAGCTCTAGATCTTAGGTAAAGGAACACTGTGGCCAAGTTTTAAGAATTTCTAATAAAAACTGTTGGGCTGTAGGCTGTTCACAAGAAATATGCCAACAGACAAATAAATAACTAAATAAAAAAACCAGGAGAAAACATAACTCCCTGCCAACTTCTTTGGCGGAGGTAATAATTATAACAATTCTGGCTAGTTTGCTAATCAGTGATTTCAATTCATGCCTACAAGGAGTTTATTTATTATAATATACTTACCGAAACCCGGAGCTATACCATTTGGAGAAGTTATACACATCTAGATGTGTATAAGAGACAGGTACATATATATATATATATATATATATATATATATATATATATACATTCATTTTGTGTATAAATAAATAGTATATCATTAACAATGTTCATTTATTAGTAATGTATCGATGTTTTTGAATTTATAAATGTGGTTTCAAGATACAGCATAGAGAGCCAATGGGTACTACCAGTGTGTTAATGTTATTGTTTTATGTGTGTTATGTGTCGTTGCTTGAAAACTAAATGAATCAATTGAATAAACCTCAAGGCGAAGTTCAACTGTATGTCTTTAACATTGTCACTATGGTATTAACACTAATAAATACTAGAAAAAACCTATTCTATGATATATACATACCCCACCCTAGTATAAACAAAATCAAGAAAAATCCTGACGTCACTTTAGCGTCTTCGAATGTGACCCCAGTGTGTTTTATATCCACCAGAAGCTCCATGGCAACCCACATATTGCAGGCTAACAAGATATAATGGAGGCTGACTGCTACCACTGTACATCCACCGCTGCCTGGTTCGAAAGCATCGATGCTACAAGCAACGCACACATACACAAGAATGTTTGAAAGACACAGGCATTGAGTTGTCCACAAACTACGATCGTTTCTCGACATCCTAAAACAAAATAAACTAATAAGAAATAATGTTCTCATAATTGAAGTACTGTGTAATTGGTATGTTTTAATGATTCTGAAATCAATGTGTTTAAAATTGATATATTCTACTTGTTATTAACTACTTATAAATTCCAAATTACCAAAATTCATTACACATTCGTGTGTTTCAATGCTTTAAAGCCTGATAGATATTTCTAATAGGCTTTGTTTCTTTAAAATAAAAAATCACAATGTTAATATACCTTTCTGTGAAATAACAGAGTTTACTTGGTTTCAATCAAAAAGAAATCAACAATTATTTACTGTGTTTGAATTCTGAATATACGAGACACGTTATACCTACCATCCCCGAAGCATTGCAATTATTGCGAACAGCAGAATAATTATTGCTAATGAACACGCAATGTAAGTTGTAACTCGGCTTGCCATGGTCCTGTACACAGTCGCAACACCAGGCATGTTGGGGCTCTACCAAGATGAAGCAAATAAATATGATAATAATAATGATTATTATAAGTTAAATTAATGCTATTAATAAGATTAAATAATAATAATAATAATAAGCTTAATAATAATGATAATACTAATAGACCTAATGAGAATGATGGTGATGACGATGATGCCGGAGGCAGCGATGATGATGATGATGATATCGATGATGATATGAAGAGAATGATGATGATGATGATGTCATGATGATAATGAGGATGATGATGATGATCATCATCATTAACATCATAATCATCATCATAATCATCATCATCATCATAATCATCATCATCATCATCATATTCATGCTGATGATGTTCAATCAATGCCTTACCATCAATACAGCAAAACGGCGGTGGCGATGATGGTGATGATGATGTCGATGATGATATGAAGAGGATGATGATGATGATAATGATGTGATGATAATTAGGATGATGATCATCATCATCAATAACATCATAATCAACATCATCATAATCATCATATTTATGTTGTTGATGTTCCATCAATGCCTTACCATCAATACAGCAAAACTTGATAGATGTGTGCAGTGACACTTCACCTTTCCCACGTCATCTTTTCCTGCGTACCAACATCCCCTGGACGACCAATCACTATCCGCTGTATCCCAGAAAACACACTTCGAACTGCTTATATTTGTGTTCTGAAAATATTATATTAATAAACACTTATCTATATGTTAAAGTGTAAGAAATTTGCGAAAATGATACTAATAAAAATGATGATCATCATAATATTTAAATTAAGTTAAATTAATGACAGATAAAACACATATAAATAAGTTAATTATTTTCTAAATACATACCGATAAAGATGTAAACATGAGCTGGACAGGTTTCGCAAAGTCATTGGCTTCTTCTTCGTAGACAGACGCTGCGAGAATGGTACCCGTTGTTTTTCTTGACGTGCTACGAGTACTTTTAGACGGGAACAAGTAGTCGTTGTGATAAACGATAAAGGATACGTCAACATTTGTTGCTAAGAGAAATATAAATTATTATTGCTTTGAATTAGAATAATAATTGTAAGGTAAATTTATTAACGAAGTAACTTTATGCACTATTTTCAGATGAATTACTACTTCATCTTTAAGTTAACTTATAATTTTCCCAGGAATGATGTGCTATCACTTATCTTTAGATGTAATGTAATGTAGTTAGATTTATATAGCGCTTTACATCGAAACGGTCTCAAAGCGTTAGAGGTGTGGATTGGCTCTTTCTATAACTCGCTTCTCCCCTAAGGGTTTGCTCGTGTCTGAGCTACCCAGTAAACCAGTACCATCTACTCTCGTTTGTCCACAGCAGATACTGAATGGACCAGTTGACCCGGGTAACCCCCTAATAGTCTTGAAAGATATACTGGGTTCTATAAAGTGCAAATGAGCCAAATTATAGTCCTTATCCGAGACAATGTGTTCCACCACCAGAACCATAGGCAAATGTGCCGTTTGAACCAGCACCGATATTATATCTGTAAGTTTCAGCGCCCCTGCCTGGATCACTT